AATTGGGATGAAATTTAATAATTAATTTATTATTATTTAATTAGATATAAAAAAAACTTGATTTTTGAAATGTTAAACTAGTGAGCTAATTTGTGAAAATGGAAATCTAAAAGCAGGTGTAGGTGTAATTTCCTCTTTTTATGATTGCTTTGAATTAAGGCCCGTTTGGCTCCCGTTATTTGATATTATAATTTTTGGAATAATATTATTTTAAGAATGCGTAGTTCAAAAAGAAGAATTTTTTTTTTGAATTTACATGAAATATTATTTTATTGAAAAATGTGTGATTGATATGAAGATAAATAAAAATAGATTATGCTTTTAGTGGAGGCCAAACGGGGGCCAAGTTTAGTGGCTTGATTTCGAGTAAGAGTAAAGTTAATAAAATTTACGCGTTACGAAGTACACAAAGAAGGTACGCCTTTAATTGGACTTCTACCTGATATAAGCAAACACCACATAATGGGATCAATGGACTGCACCATAAGTTGGCCCTTGGACTGAAAAATAAGTGTAATCATATATAATGGTTGACTATTTTCTATGTTTTTTGTTCGAAATTTGGATTCAATGAATTTTATGAAATTTTATACACATTTTATAGTGATACTAATAATAGAGTTGTAATTTTCCATGGTATTGTATTAATTCTTCATAGAGATCTATCTACTGTTAGGAATTTACTTATCATGCACAGCGAAAAATAAATCAAATTTCAATTCTCACCAAGGATCTGCAATGTGTTTAAATAGAAGATGTGATAAGAATTATACCTTTGATGAATTCTGCAAAGTCCTTTGCTGATTCTCGAACTCCAATGATCACGATCTGCAATCAAAGCTGTCCAATTGTCCAGCCTCCAATGGTGATCCACACAGAGAACAAGAATGACCGCTAGGTTTTCTTTTCTTGTGCTAGTAAGAATAATGAAAAATTCCATACATATTTCAAACCTTAGCAGCCTATTAATATAAGTCCAAGTGGGCTCGACCCATCTGTTAAACTTAACCCGAACCAATAATTAATTAATCAAATTAATTAAATCTGGTCAATGAAATAAATAATACAATTAATTAATTCGGACCTATTAATAAACAACACACTTA